AACTCTGGTGGCTTATGAGTCTAATGTGGATTTGCACCTGATGTGCTTTTCTCCGCTTCGGCAGTGTTGTGGCTGAGGCAGACCAGGATTCCACAGATTTTTTTTTTTTTTTCCTCCTCCTAGGATGGTGTGCTGTTTAGCCAAAGCTTGTTTGTTTGCGCATCCCCTTATTGTTACAAGAACATTCTGCTGTCCTTAATCATATCCCTGCAATCTGAGCTGCATTTCCTATCAGTATTATCTAGAGCTGCTGTATTTTCTAATTCCTTCAGCCCAGTTTTCCAGATGTTCCTTCGGCTGCAGAAGTTGCTGCTGCTGTACTCCCCCTCTTTCCTCCCTCTCCCCGTTTTTAGGGGTTAGGAAGCTTTGTGCAACATATTCACACATTTTGTTTCTTTTTTCAGTTACTGAGTTATGTTCCTAAGTGATCTCAACAATGTAATGTTATAACTAACTTCAGTACATTGCAAGAAGAAAGTAAAGTAGTGGAAGTGACTGTTTCCAGCTATAGGACACAAACTTAAAACATCCAAAGTGAGACTTGGATTGTCCAATTCTGAGTTTTGCATAGTATTTTGTGGACTTTTTTTTTTTTGGACTTCTTTTTCATTGTTAACCATTAGGTATTTGCCATTATTGTCATGTTTTATTAGCATATGATTACTTGCTGTTTGTCCTTGAGGGCAAGCCCAGAGGGGAATCCAGAACACCAGTGTGGTGTTCTGGTTATGTCATCTGGGGAGGGTCTGATGTTTCGAGATGGGACTTGCAGCTTGCCACAGCCTGCGGTAGGATTGATGTGTCCAGTTAGCCAGCAGCAGTCATGGAGGCAGAGGGTTGGTTTCTTCTCTTTCCATCCTGTCCTAAGATCGGATGGGCTTCCCGGTGGATGGGACAGTAATAATGAGCTTCTGGTCCACCTCCTTTTCCACAGTATGAGTAGGGGGGGGGGCATCCTTATTATAGGCCGGGAGAGGGAGCAGGGATGCAAAACCATGCCTGAAGAGAGGAAAAGCTGTGAATTCCTCCATTCTGTTGCCCAGAGTGAAGTTGTGCCTGTGCCAGAGATGAATATGCAGCCCTGGGAGGAAACCACTGACTCCATGTCCCATGATTTTGGGATTCCCACCTGGAAATGTGTTACCCTCCCCTGCCACCAAGACCTGATTGCGAATTTATAGCTTTACTAGTATGTATTTTTTGTTTATAATTTTGTTGTGGGAGTATGCAAGACCTGGAGGAAACCCACTGTGCCTCAGGTGCAGTACAAACGGAGTAGCCTCTGCTGTGATGTGTTAGCAATCTGAGAAAAGATCAAGACATAGCAGATGGACATGTGCTGCTGGAGATTAGTAGACTGGATTACAAACTGTTGGTAAAAATCCCAGATTTTCGTTACTTAATTATTCTCTCCAAAAGCATATACACAATGTAATTCCCATCTTTCTCAACACCATTTACTCTCTTAATTCTCCTTTTTAAAAGATAGGAGATATTTAGGTGCAAAATACCAAACGCATTTGATAGTCCTTACTTTCACCACTGTTAATTCTTACCCTGCCATATTCCCTTCCCTTGAAGATACATTGTTTTTGGGTGTCAGACAGATTGAGTTGTGGGAATCCTTTGTGTAAGGCATTAATTCTGTTTGTAAATTCTTCTGCAGAAAATTACAAAACTTGAGGTGCTGACCTGAAGGGCTGTGATGCACTGCTATGGAAAAATCAAAAACATGGCATAAAAATATGAAATATTTTAATGAAATATATGAAATATCAGTTTTTCTCAGTCTTTCTTGGGATTCTAGTTTGCCCTCTGGGGTTGTCCTCAAGGGCAAACGGCAGGTAATCATATCATATGCTAATAAAATAAGACAATAATGACAAGTATTTAATAGTGCAATAAAGTCCATAAAATATTGTGCACAATTCAGAATTGGCAATTACTATTTCTAGGATGCTTGCATGTAAGTGCAGTCATGTGAGTCTGCATAGAGGATTAGTGGAGCTCACATGGAAAATTTCTGGTAGTGCTGGTAAAATGACTGCCCTTTTGATTGGACACAGATAGAAACATTTTAATAAGAGGTAGATGGTGTGCAAATGGGAACTCCTGCCAAAATTCTGACCAAAATCAAAGTAATTAGACTGTGATGGTCTGACTGACCTTGCTGCCTAAATGGTTGCTGTTGAATTTTTTTAAGAAAGAGCAGCAGTTACCTGACCTGGCCTTAATCCACTATACCATAAGAACAACCAGAGCTACAAGATAAGTGAATTAAGTCTGGAATTTAGTCTTGTCCCAACTAATTATCCAATTGTTTTGCTTGAATGCATGTTGTTATCCCTGAGGATAGGGAAATTTAGCCTTTGAAAGGAACCCCTGTACATGTTTTTCAATGCGAGTGGTATTTTTTTTGTGAAGTATGTTTCCCATATGCATATGGACACTATACATCAAGCCCAACTGTGCAACATTGTGTTACATATTAGACCCTGAAGAGAAAGCCATGCTCCTGGGGTTTGGAGAGGCTTATGCAGTAGCCAGGACTGTAGTTTTGGATGCATGGCTCCAGTGTCTGTTGTCCAGGAGTGCCGCCAGGAGGAAGGGATGAGGGCAAGAAGAGGGATTTAGGTGAGAGGCAGAGCGTGACAGAGCATGAGCTCCTTGTTGAGCTCTTAGTACCGCTTTGCTCTGCTCTGTTCCTTTGCTTGGTGGAACTCATTGTGGAAACTTGAGATTTGACCTGGTGGGACCTTGTGCCCTAGGGGAGGGCAGAGAGTAAGTTTGGAAGGAGAAGCAGCCGAGCTCCTGGCTGCCGAGTGTGTTTTGTTTGGATGGTCAGGAGCATGCGCTCGAGTTGCATGTTGCTAATCCACTGTGTAAACACTCAGGAGAGGAGAGGAACGGAGGGAGCAGTTTAACAAGCCGGACCCGTGGTGTCTCGTGGGGCCAAGGAAATGGGTTTATTCTCCGTTGGTCCCTTCAGATTAGCTTTCCCCTTGCGCTGGTAGAAGCGTGTCCCACAAACGTGTGTGCGTGACACAGAGCTGCCAGTGAGGTACTGAGGGAGAGTCTCCCTCTCCTTCCTGGTGCAGGTTGCATGTTTGGTGCTTTGCTTTGCTGCAAGTTCATGTCTGCTCATCTGGCCACCTTGTCGCGACTGAGGTTTCCCTGTGTTGAAATGAAAGTCTCACATGGGGGTAGTGGTCAGCTTCTCCTTTCAGAGGAGCATCCGGCCACTTGAGGTGGAGGAGAGATAGTGGCTGTTGCTGCTGGAGGAGGGGGGTAAGGCAGGCTGAGGCAGTGGGACGCTGTGTTTTTCTGCCCCTTTTGCGCATGGCCTAGTGGGCAGGCTGGGCCTGGGCCCTAGGGAGCTTTGACATGTGCTTGAGATTAGCTGCCCTTCTCTTGTCTGCAAAGCTACTGCTGGGTGGACCTGAGCTCCAGACATGTTGGGCTCTTGCTGTGTTCAGCCCAGCAGTTGTGTTGTGGTTCAGGCTCACGTCTGCATTTTCGTGAAGCAGATTTGAAATGTGATTTTTTTTTTCTGAGAATTTCTCAGATGGTCATTTACATGTTCAGTCACGGAAGCATATGTGTAGGGTTAGTGGTCTTTGTATGGAGAATTTCCAGTAGCACTGGAAAAATGACTGCCTTTGTCATTGGACACTGATAAATACATTTTAATTAGAGGAAAATGGTGTGAAAATGGGGACCTCCTCCAAAATCCAATCTACAAACAAAGTAATTAGTCTCTGCTGCCAGTCTGGATATCTTCAGCTTCCTACTTTGTCACTGCACTGGATTTGTCAGGAAGAGGAGCGGTTACCTGACCTCATCCTAATCCATTATATACCTTAATAGTGGCTAAAGCTGTGAGATAAGTGAATTAAGTCTGGAATACATAATCTTGTCCCAACTAATTATCCAGTTGTTGTGCTTGATTGCCTGTTGTTATCCATGTGAGGAAACTACCCCCCCCCCAACTATGTGGTTTTTGAATGCAAGCAGTAGTGCATTTTTGTGGTATGACTACTGCACGTGGAATTTCAACAGTGAGGTCAATGGTGCTTCTTAGGAGAGTGACATTGCCTAATGGCACAGTTGTGAGCTAAGAGTTACCTGTAGGACTAAAGAGCTACCCCTGGGGAGGGGAAGAATTTGTTCGTGCAAGACTTTCATATTGGAGATGGGAGCTGGAGAAGCCTTGATTTTTTTTTTTTTTTTCTCTTGTTCCAAGCATGCAGTAGAAGTTGGGAAATTGTTGGGAACTGTGAATTGAGGCTGCTAATTTTACAGTTTTATTTTCCTGGAACTTTTGAAGTTGTGTTTTGGCATGTTAAATGCTAAGAACAGATTTAAAGTGACTTTGGTGACTGGGAGATTGGCACCCTGGTGGCAATAGTTTAGTAGTGTTGGAATGGTATCTTGGAGGATATTTTGCATGGAATTATTTTTTTTTTGTAAGAAATGACAAATTACTACTTCACGTAAAGAAATATGCCATGCAGTAGAAAGTATGCACTGATCCCATAATTAAACTGGACGCTTCTATTCTTAGTGTGACTGGAGTTTCCAAATACATGAGAGAGCAGTTAAAAAGGAGCAAGGGATCTGTAATTCTTGGCAACAGACTGAATAAATGGCGAAGAATGGTTAAAAGTGTTACCGTGTAGAATGAGGCTCCTACAGCCTTGAATTAATTTTTAGATAGCTTGGGTCTGTTCCCGTTCAAAAGCCAAATTGCTGTGGAAACTGATATATCTGAAATTAGTTTCAAAGGTTTTTAAAGAGCCAATTATTTGCTTTGTGTGCAAAAGGTCTTATAAGCCAAAAGGTATCTATAGAACTGCATGAAGTGGATGCAATTGCAGCTTATTATTTTTAAGAAGCCACCTCCAAAGATGTTAACTGCACATATCCAATCATTAATAATGATTTTGCTGCAGGAAAAGAATCAGAGAGTTGTATTAATGTCCATTTGATATTTTTTTCAGGTGGTTCATTGCCAGAAGAAGAATCTTGGCTTATTGTAAATAAAGGAGAGGGATTAAGACTGAAGTGCGATGAGGAGGGACCCGTGATTTGGAATTTCCAGAACTCGGACCCACTGGCAAAAGCAAGGAGTTCCAGCGAGAAAGAGTGGTACACCAAAAACGCAACAACCAGAGACATAGGCAGATACATATGCAAAAGCGAAGGGAGGATTGTCAAATCTTTTTATGTTTTTGTTAAAGGTAAATGTTAAAGAAGGCTTTTTGGGGGCCGGGGCGGGGGGGGAACGTGCATTTGACTTTCCCCCCACCTCTTTCTCACTACCAAGGGTTATCTTGAGAAGGCCAAGGCAAATTCTGGGTTATTTCTTTGCTTGTGAGTGCTCAGAAGCCTTTTAAATTACCTTCAAACATTACGTGGAATCACTGTATGAGCCCAGAAAGATTCAAAAGTTATTTTTTAGATAGTTGGGTAAACCCAGAAACAGTGAAAGTCTAAATTGAAAAAGAGAAAAGAAATCCTCCTGGCTGATACTTCCTGTGTAATTAATACAAAGGTAAATCCTAGGGAGGAAGAGAATTTGAGGTGTAGAAGAGCACAGTCCAATAGGGTAAGTATTTCCTGTTCAGTAGGAAGAAAAGTAACTCCCAGTTTACTTTCAAAGAAGGCGTTTGTCACTGGAGCAAAGCGTTCCCTAGTTGCTGACCTAGACATCCCATGCTTATTATCAGTAAGATAGTTTTTGTCTTAAACCAAGTGCGTAGCATTATCGCTCCTCCTAAGCCACTTCTCTCAGTAGTTCCTCTTAGGTTGTTGTCTGGAGATGTCTATCACTCAAGTGGTAGTAGGTCAGTTTACAAGAGGAAAGAAAACTTCTCTGTTTTTCTAATTAATCTTTAGGGAATCTCTGCTCTCTAGCGAGAGAAAAATGGGAACTGAAATAAACTTAATACAGAATGTTTGTCACTGCCGTAGCCTGTATTTTTGTGTTCAATTTTAATGGCCAAGTTCTTAGTGTTTCAAAGTCATCAGCTAGCTTGGGTAACTTTAGTTGTAAAAGTATTTAAAATACTGTGTCTTTGTGTGCTGTGGTTGAGAAAAAAACTTTTTTAGAAATGGTATCTTGGGAAAGATTACATTCTTATTTTTCACTCAGATGTGCTGTTTCAATGCCCAGGGTTTTCTTAAGACACTAAAAATAGCCCCATGCTTTCAGGGAGGGGAGAGAAAGAGAGAAGTTGTTTGGTGCTTCCTCTGGCAGCGCTCTGTGTTCATTTAGATTACATATTTTACAGAAGTGAAAACCATAATTTGGGTGCTGTTTGACTACTATTCGCTCATAAATTTCTTTAAAATCCTCCTGTGGGCATGAAAGCGTACAGCCCTGCCACTAGCTGAAAGCAGATTTTTTCTAATGGCCTGTGAAAATCTGTTTACTGTTGGTTGAGGGAGGTGGGTTGAGGCTAAGCAAGACAAAAAAAAATCCTCATATTAAAAAAGATTATTTTTAGTATTACCAAGAAAGAATAACCATACAGGTTGGGTATAAAGCTTCCTTGGATAACAGTCCTCAATGACTGACTAAGGGCTATGGAAATTTTCATGTGCAATGGCAGCATTTCTTACAGACCTTTGTTTTTTCCAGATCCAGATGTGCTCTTCCTTGTTGATTCTCTGATATACGGAAAAGAAGACAGTGACATCCTGCTGGTGTGCCCATTGACAGACCCAGATGTGGCAAATTTCACCTTGAGAAGATGTGATGGCAAACCTCTCCCCAAGGACATGATGTTCATTCCCAACCCCCAGGAAGGCATCATCATAAAGAACGTGCAGAGGTCATTCAAGGGGTGCTATCAGTGCTTGGCAAAGCAAAACGGAGTGCAGAAGATTTCAGAACATATATTCCTGAATGTGAGGCCAGGTAATGCCCAATTTTCACCACCAGGTAGATGGGCACGGCTTTTGGGCAAAGGAAGGTGATGGAAGGTATTATGTCCTGGCCTAGCATTGCCGTCCTTGTGGAGGATGGAGCTGATGGTGTCAAGTGGGGGCTTCTGGGTTCTTATATTCAAAGGCAGCTCAGTTTTCAAACCAAGGGAGTGCTTTGTAATATCTGTGACCATTACAGGGTGTAGGGGAAGATGGTTGGTTTAGGAAACTTGTCTCGTTTTTGCTGGGCAAAGACAATCACGACAGCAAGCATGTGTCCAGGCTTGAGGTGGAGAGTGTTGTCAGCCGCGCTGCCTAACATACTGCTCTGTTCTTTTACTTGGTTGTTGCGGAAACCTGAGATTTGACCTGGTGGGACCTTGCGCCCTAGGGGAGGGCAGAGAGTAAGTTTGGAAGGAGAAGCAGCCGAGCTCCTGGCTGCTGAATGTGTTTTGTTTGGACGGTCAGGAGCGTATGCTTGAGTTGCGTGTTGCTAATCCACTGTGTAAACAGGAGAGGAGAGGAGCAGAGGGAGCAGTTTAACAAGCCGGGCTGCGTGGTGTCTTGAGGGACTAAGGAAATGGGTTTATTATCCGTCGGTCCCTTCAGATTAGCTTTCCCCCTGCACTGCTAGGAGCGTGTCCCACAAACATGTGTGCATGACACAGAGCTGCCAGTGAGGTACTGAGGGAGAGTCTCCCTCTCCTTCCTGGTGCAGGTTGCATGTTTGGTGCTTTGCTTTGCTGCAAGTTCATGTCTGCTCATCCGGCCACCTTGTCGCGGCCGAGGTTTCCATGTGTTGAAATGAAAGATCCATGTAGGGTGTAGCATGGGGACGAGAAGCCAACGTTTGGTCTGCTGTGGTAAACTGAGGAAATCTCTACTAATTTGAGAATTGTAGAGAATTCTAATAAGTAATAGCAAATTTTAATTAATGAAAAGAGAACTATAGGCACTACAGGTGTCTTGTGTTCTCTTCTGATGAAAAAATTCAAGTCAGTTCTTGATGCCTCTGTTGTTTGTTTTGTAACAAGTTTTTTTTTTTTTTTTTTTTTTTTTCAGGGATAGTCAACAGACAATTGACTGAGATAGCTGGCTTGTCTCTAACATGGGTGAATGCAGTTGTAGTATTGAACGTCTTTTACCAGATGAAGTCTTTATTTGCTCAGTACTGTTGTGACTTCAAACGGGAGGGTGATGAGCTTACATCCATCAGCCCCCTGACCATAGGCAAGAGTCAGTTGCCTGCCAGGCCTGTGCCCTGCATGTGCTCTCCATGTTCTCTGTTTTGAGGGAAGTGTTCGGTAACTGGAAGCGTTTACTGAAGGTTATCAGCAGTTATACAGTACCACAGTGTTGCTGTTACTGTGCTGTGGAGTCAAAACCTGCTTGAGTTCACCAGGCACAACTCCTATCTTATCTCAGCTGACGACGTAGCTATATTGGAGACAGGGTTCACCTTTAAAAAAAACAATATTTTTGTAATCATAACAGTGGTGCTCAGGCCCCTTTGCCCAAGCTTGTGGTGCAGAATTACAGAACAGGTGTCCGTGAAATGGGGACCTGAGCACACACTCAGACATATACCAGTCCTGGATTCGTGACAGAGTGTCAATGCTCAGCTCTTCTCTGAACAACGAGGGTCTTTGTGGCGCTGTGGCTGTCCTTATGTGTGGCTGGTGGGTGCGGATGCACCGCACATCTGCTCCGGCTTCCTCATGTCTCTCGGGTGCTGCTGAATGCCCGGAGTGTGATTTTATGTGAACGCTTATGTCTGAAGAGAGGCAACATGTTTCTTTGTTGTGTTCCATAGCCTCTTGCAGCCAAAGGAGGAGCACGTTGTTAAAACATGAATGGCTGAGAAGCATGGCATTTTCCTAAGTTTTTAACTAGTTTACCTGAGATAGCGCCAAATTATATGTCAGAGGCAGGAAGAAAGTCTGGATTGCCTTATTTCAATCTGTTACATTTGCAGTTTGGAAGTGATCTGCCTTGCATAAAATCCCTAGTGGGAAGTTCAGTTCTGCTAGGACGAAATTGGAGTCTCATAAAGGAAAAAAAAAATGAAGAAAGGATTAACAAAAAAACAACAAAGCAAACCGTGGCAGGAGTGAAGGAAGAACTAGTGAGTTTTGCTGAGATGAGACATGAAGCTAGCCAATTCTCAAATAGTGTAGGCCAGCACTACTTAACTATTGCTAAAAGACACACGAAATGGAAGAGTGATACAGCAAGCCCATAGCACTTAAGTTTTGTGGCATAATCCAGAAAGCTCTGATGAGTTTGCTTGTAACCTCCTACATCTCGGTGGCGATCTTGTCAGTGTCCTTGGCTCAGCTACCACTGCCTTTCATTGAACGATCATCATGAGCAGAAGTCATGATGCTTTTAGAGGTTGGTGTGCTGAAATCCCCAAGCTGCTCCTGTGCTCAAAAGTCCCATACCATCCCTAGGAACAGAAGCCTTCAAGGTAGTTCGGGTACTTTTCAGTACCTGTTGGACAGAATGTGACGTCTACTTCAGTATTTTATATCTTAGAAGTTGTAGCTTATTTTACTCTGCAGTTTTTCAGTGGCTGCTTGTTGCTGTATTTTTAATTGAAGTACAGTATTTTAATAGTTGTCATGGAGTGAGTGGTCTCATTGATGGTTCAATATTGTTTATTTAGGCAAGTGGCTGAGCGCTAATAAATGTTATCTAGCTTTAAGCATTCTTTGAAAGGGGATTGAAGCAGAAGTGGCCTTGTTCTAAAGCGTACTTGCAATTTGTTAAAGAAATCTGAATACCTCTTGGAAAGTTAATGACTGTTGATTTTTTTATCCCCCTTGGAAGCTCTGAAGGTAATGAAAAGTAATGCACTTCTAAATTGTGTTTCAGTTCACAAAACTCTTCCAGTCATTACCTTATCCAAAACCTACGAGCTTCTCAAGGAAGGGGAAGAATTTGAAGTTACATGCTTAATCACGGATGTGGACAGCAGTGTACTAGCAAGTTGGATTTCTCACAAAAGCGGGGTGAGTTCCTTTAATTGTATCGTGTGCTGCAGAGCAGAGTAAACAGACTGAGCCCATAAACATCCATGTGCTTATCTTGTGCGCCCAACACTGGGTCCGTTTCAGTTTGCTCTTTCCTTAAGTTCAGCATCCTACACACTGGTGAGGCTCCAACAACTTCTCTGTGCCGCAGGATGGACTTGTAGCATCATTGAATGTAGCTGCAGGGACAGCGTCTGCCCAGTGGCTGTTCCCAAATTGCAGAAGCTGAAGTGAGGCTTTTCAGCATGAAGTTTGGGTGACCTCTGCGAGGCTACCAAATGTGAGAGCATGGAGTGCCTACACATCACCTTGCAATCAATGGGAGCTGCAAATAACAACACATGGACTGCAAATTGCATATTCTCGTCGCTACCACTAACAGTGAAATACCTGCTAATTAGCATGGGATTGTATGTGACAGGAATAGTAGTAAGCATTCAGAGTGATTAATTCACTTAAATTACACAGTGTGCCTTGATAACTGCAAAAGTTCACGAAAATGAACCAATGAACTAATTTCTGTCTGTAATGATAGTGTGAGTTACTGTCTGACATTACCAAATTAAATTACTGGCGAGCTAAGTGCTCTAGGAGTGTTTGCTCTTGACTGCATAGTTACTCTAGAGAAACAGGAGCTAGCGGGAGGTCTCCTGCCTGGTCACCATGGGTGCTGCCTACTCTGTGTTTGAGGTGCAGGCTTTATATTGTAAAATACTCAAGCTCTGTATTGAAAAATAGTAAGAGTGGCACAAACAGCAGCAGATGCTGGCTTGTTTGCAAGATCACTTTTTAATCTTCTGGGTATACCATGAAATTGAAATGAATTAAAAGCTCCTCTGAAGACTCATTAGTAACTGCTGCCATATAAGTTCCCATGCTAATTGGCCAGTATTTTACTGTTAATGGTAGTGACTGGAATACATAATTTGCAGCCCATGTGTGTGGGGAAAAAAAGGCCTCTGTGATACTGTGATGTTCAGATAAATCACATATCCTCAGGCAAATAGTGAGCTGGAGCCCACTTCCCTTGGGTTCGGTTTGCCATACTTAGCTAATCCGTCGGCTCTGGCAGAGCTGCTCTCGCTGAGTGCTCACTGCTCAAGAAATCCCCCATCACAGCTCCAAGGGTTAAAGAGGTCTAAGTGACATGGAGGCAGCGTGGGACCTGCAGATGGAGTTTTTGGTCCTGTGCCAGGGTCAGCTGTCAGTCTTTCATCCGAGAAGTTAATTTTTTCCTTGTTTACCCCTCTTTTCTTTGTTGAAATATGGCAATCTTGGGGTATTCCTTTCAGTTTTTATGCTTTATCTCTTTTCATTTTATGAGTAAAAGCCATGAGGAAAATATTTTTGACCAAATAAGTTTGACCTTTCTGTCCTTTCTGGTAAATAGCAGGGAATGCTCTCTTTTAAATATCGACTATAGAATTAAATTTTGCACTGAAACAGAATACATAAAAATAATGTTTAAACAGAAGCAGAATTACATTTTGTCCTGAATAGGTCAAAGAAAAAAAAAAAGGTAAAAAATAAGTCTAAGTAAGAATAAATAAATAAAAAATTAAACTTACTTTTGCCTTTATGGCAGAAGCTGTCACTGCTTTTGAAATTAGGAGATTTGTTATAAGCAAGTACATCCATACAAAACAAACTTTAATTTGTGTTTATTATAGCTCACAAGGAATCAAAACTTGAGCAAGTTGAGCAAGTAAAATTTATCTAGAACCACTTGGCACCTCCAAGATTTGAAATAATAGCACTGGAAAATCATGACAAGCTCAGGTCTGTGTTTGTACTAATCAGTGCAGTTTTATTAGTCTCCCGAACCAAGCTGAATTTTCTCGCGGAAACTAAAGTCAAGAGCTCAGAGCATTTATTTTTCCTTTAGTTTCTGGCATGAATACATAGACATTATCATCCTATACTAAGTGCTTTGGAAACAGAGTGATGTTTCCAGTTGCCATTGGGGTTAATAAATCTGGATTGTCATGGACTGAGAAGCAAACGGCCTTCCAGAAAGAAGGTGCCATGTTACGCAGATCTCCAGCGCTTCTCCCTGCAGCTTATTTGCAATGAGGGAAACACCACAGAGCTGCGGCATAGAATGATCCTGCTCAAAACTCAGCCCCAGCACCTTGAATTCTCTCTCCCTTGTATTTCCCTGGGAACAGCTGCAACCATTGGAGAATTCTGTGACTTTACACAGTGCTCAAGTGATGTACCATGCTTTAAGATTACAGCCACTTTTTGCATTAGCTTCTGGTTGTTATCAAAGTCAATGTAGAGTGGTCATCTTGCATCAAGCCCTATTGCAGGAAGCGTTGCAAGTGTGCACTGAGAGTGGATTTTGAGGAGGAAAACCAGTAAAGAATAAGGGCAGGGCATACAGCTTAGGAAAGGATGTTATCTGTCAAAGAGAGCTGATCATATACTTGTTTTGCATGGAGAGATTCTAGTGACACGTTTGTTGTGATGGCTTATTATTCCGGTTTAAAGTTATGAATATTAATATAGCGAAGTTATAATTACGTCTATTTTTAATTTATCTAGGAAAGATGCAGCATACACAGTATTTTAGATGTTAATTGTTTTTTATCGACAGATTGTTACAAGCAAAAGCAGGAATTTGGGTGATTATGGATACAAAAGGAAATTAACATTGAACATCCGTTCAGTGGGAGTTAATGATTCTGGAGAATTCACATGCCAAGCAGAAAACCCTTTCGGAAAAACCAATGCCACAGTAACCTTGAAAGCACTAGGTAAATTGTTTTTGGAAAAATGTAATATTTCTGAGAGTGGGAGGTGGAAAACTAAAATACTGGGTAGTCTTCCTTTTCCTCCTTTTCCTTTCTGAAAACCTGAAGCAGTGAAGTTGCTTGTTAAAAGGTTGTGGCTGACTGGTACTGTGCTGGGATGGTGCAGCGATTGCTGGGCTGTGTGTGACTGCCTTAATTTCTGTACCCCCTTGCATGCTAATGGAAGGTGATATTAGAACCACCACCCAATAGTGCTTCAGTCTCTCTGGTTTGTGTCATCCTTCCTGGTTTAATTTTAAATTTAATTCTGTCTTAATGAAGCAAGTAATTTACCTTTGCTTGGTATTATCCCTACGCTTAAGTAATTTGGCAGCTCAAGCACAAAGCGTATCTTTAATACCTGCATGCCAAGCATGAGAAGTTTTGCTGACATCGACATGTCAGTGATTTTTATGTAGGAGAAGTTGTATACTTATTTCTACCTAAAATAATACCGTGAGCAACACTGCAGTACGCACAGGCGGCATGCAGTTTTCCCAGTGCTTGCCACAGCAGTAAATTCACTATTCATCACTTCCAAAGGTTTTGGATTATGTCCCTTAAAAAGAGTGAACTCCCTTCCTTTATGTGTTTACTAACAGTCTCATTTGGACCTCCCCATAATATTTATGTATTAGCTTGGATGACACACTGGTGTTTGAATATTAAGGCCTCCAAATGAGTGCTGATTTGCTATACTAATTGGTGCCATACTGGTGTACTTAATTAGATGCTTCTGAGCAAGTCCATGTAGTTGGTCAAAACAGCTTCAGCTCTTCACCTTCCAAGGACCTAGAACCTGAAGTAGATGTAGATGTGAAATGGCTGCTTGCTTTGGGTGGTTGTCCTTGTATTCATTTCTTTCTCAAAACTGTTCTTCTCCTGCACAAATGTTCCTTTGAGATGGCTTGTTTGGCTTTCCCAAGGAACTTAAAGAAAATAGATATATCTGTCTTCTGTGGGTCAGGTCTGCAGCGCAGCTCCAGAGGTTTGTACGTGCTTGAGTGCTGCACCGTTCGAGGGGCTGAGGCTCATATCAGTGCTGATGTTTTTCTCGCTTGCTACAGGGAGACTGAATTCATATGTAAGACACTGAAACAGTGTTAAGTCTTAAAGAGTATCTTTTCTCCGAGGGGAATAATGTGAAAGCTGCCATTATAAGTGAAGGGAGTTCTTCATTACAGAGATTCTTAGAGCTACAATGTATGCAAATGTGGTCTTAAAAAAGGAGCCACTTTGGAGAGTCTGATGACTAAAATACAATGATCATAGCATTGTTAGAAGTAGAAAATGCATTAGCAGGTTTGTATTTAGTGAAATACAAAGTTTCCATTCAATTAAAAATACAAGAGAAAAGCCGAAACCTTTCATTTTCACAAGAATTGTCTCCCACAAGCCTCTTAAATTTGGCCTAAATTAAAATAAACCATCTCTCTCTACTCCTTTCACCGTTCATTGTCAAATTGACTATATTTATCTTAACTGTGCCAGCTCCCAGAATCATGGAAAGTGATATAAGAACATATGGGAGAGATCCTTGAGATTGTATCAGATTCTAAATTACTGTGACTTTAATGTTAGCCAAAAGGTTTATGAGAAATAATAGGTATAGTGATAAATTTAATAATTCTTTTTTTAGCAGTTGGTTGATCTAAGCATAAGCAATTTCTAAAATACTGTTCAGGGTCTGATAGCATGATCATAAAATTTTATTTGCAGGCTCTTGGTTACAATCTTGATTTAGCTTCAATGGGAGATTCAGTATTTATACAGAAAATAGGAAAGAGATTTGCAAACCAGCTAAAAATCCTATGTTTCCAGATTTTAAACCTTTACTCTGTTTTAATGCTAGCTTTTTTTAGACTAAACCTGCCTGCTGCCTATTAACATCTTCCCTCCTCCTCTGAAGTATCTTTTAAGTGCTCTGCCAACTCTGCTTTCACCAAGGCCTGCTGGCTCTAGTTTTCATGAACTGAGGTGAATAGCTGACCAGTTGGATTACTACAAGTGGGAAGAGGCAGAGATTTGAGATTGACTTTCGTTCTGAATTCAAGTTCTCTCAATAAATGTTTCCCTTTGATTCCAATCTGCCTATCAAGCTGGTAATTCCAGCGAATTTGTCTAAGACTGAAAATTTTGTCTTTCGAATAAGCTAAGACTAAAGCTTATTAATGAAATTAAACTCGCTGAAATAAGGATGTTGCTCTGCATGATACTTTGGAATGGAAGCACACAGTGATAAATGGTATCTGACAAATAAAAAATTAAGACCCAGTAGTAGACAAAAAGAAATGTCTTAGTTTAAGAGGTATATAGCCCCACAGATTTAGCTTATTTTTCTCCAATTAAAGCTTTTAATAGCTTCATTTGTAATGTCATTCTTAATTACACTTGACAAAGAAATGTTAAATACTCTCCTGTATTGGCATAAATGATCAATCTCTCTTGCTTTTGTTCTTGGTGTTTTTTTTCCCACCATACAGTCAGTGGCTCTGATTTTTGGAAAAAAATAAAATAAAGGAGTAGAATTGAACATGTGTTTGCATTCTTCCAAAACCAAATAAAGGATATTTGTCACCAGAAGATGGAATTATTTCTATTAAAGCACTCAAGGCTGCTTTATGTTCTGTGCCTCATTACTATATATAGCTAGTGGTCTTGGTTACAGCAGGTGAGAGTTCAAGTTCTGCTTCCTAGATAAAGTTTCCTGTTTCACAGCTGGATGTTTGATCTCTGATCTTAAAGCAGGGTAAATGTGGTTAGGGTGCTGACAATCCTCTAAATGGTTCTAATACTCTTTTTATTTCCCTATTATGAACATCAGCTAAAGGATTTGTCCGTTTGCTTTCACCAATGAATACCACAGTAGATATAAATGCAGGACAAAGTGGAAATTTAACAGTTGAATATGAGGCGTATCCAAAACCGAAGGAAGAAGTGTGGATGTACATGAATAAAACACTGCAGAATTCTTCGGATCATTGTGTCAGATTCAAGACTGTGGGCAATAACAGGTAATAAGAACAATTGTAAGTGTTATTGATTTCCATTTGGAACAGCAAACTATACTCTGCTCTGGAAAGAGGAAAGTGGAGAGGAGAGAATGTTGTAATTCCTTCCCCTGCTTCCATCATTGTCAGTTTGAGATGCAGAGCGCACTGCCCTGCATGCCCCGGGGTTTGTGTAGAGGTTTTGTCTCTGCTTGTGCTTGGTTCCCTCTCTGTATCTGGGTGTGCAAAGCCAAGGTTTAATTTCGAAAGGTCTTGTAGTACTGTCTGCCTTACCGCATATAGTGGTGTAAAGTCATCTAACTATTTGAAATAGCCAAATCTGACCACACTATTAGAAGGACCAGTGTGCCACATGCGCCGTGAATGGTCCACATGATGACATTGCTGCTCAGTAAGCAAAAGTGCAAATTTGAAGTTGTGTGTGTATGGAGACTCACTCTACTGCCAGAGTACTGTGCTCTGGAAGAGGACTATATATATACATATATATATATATAAACCCAGTGAAACACCTAGCACATGTGGCCTGCATTGTGTGTCCTAGGTTCCCCCTTCAGCAAGTAGAGGAGCACAAGGTGGGGTAGGTGTGGAGTCCCAGCCTATTGCTGAGCTGGGACACAGACAGCCCACACATCTGGACCTGAGATATGTGGAAGTTTCTACTCTGTAGAACAAACACATCCATAAAATACATAGTGAGAGTATCTATGTGGACAGGGTGTGCAGAAAGCAGCACATTAATAATTGACTTCTTAGTTTTCTCTGTGGGAATACCCTGGGCTGATAGGATCACCACACGTGAGTGTCAGTAATGCTTAATTTCTTCTTTGCAGCTACACAAGTGAACTTCAGCTTACCCGACTAAAGGGAGCAGAAGGAGGCATTTACACGTTCTTTGTGTCCAATTCTGATGCCAGCTCCTCTCTAACGTTCAATGTCTACGTGAAAAGTGAGTAAAGTGAACAATCTGAAATATTTCATTACCACAGTCATTGTATTTTATACAACATAATGTATGCACAAGATGTCACAGTGTAGCTCAGCATATGAGAAGATGGCTGACGTGAAGCACACTCTGTAAAATTATTTAAATGTCAAGATATAAAAATGCGGAGTACTTACACAGATCCACCTACTACCCAGCATGACCTTACAATGCAACGAGTATGTTCCAGAGGTTACTGGAGAACAGATAGATAGTTTATATTTTTAAAAAAAAAAAAAAAAAAAAAAAAAGGGAAGCAGCTGGAAAGGTAGTCCCACAAATAAGCATGTACCATAAACCTTTGATAATTTCAGGTGCAGCAGGTATACAGCGATTAACTATGTAATTTGTATTTTTGGCAGCCAAGCTAAGCTATTAATTGTCTTTAATTTGTTTGAGTTAGATGCAGAGCTTGAAAGCTATTTAGGAGGATTTTTCGCTTGTGCCTTTTGGCATCTGAATACATCTATATAATAATGTAGATCTACATTATTTTAAAGAACCTGCACATTTCTCAAACTATGCAGACTATCATCTCTAGGACACAGTTTTAAAGCAGGAGTATCAGTCTCGATTCCAAACAGCAGTTTTTCAAGGCAAAATTTCTTAACTCTTCAAGGCAAAAGCTAAACTCAAAAATAAATTAAATGAAACCTTTAGGAATCTGTGTCTTCTTTATAAAAGAGAATTTCATGCTCTCAGCAGACAAATGTTGGTAGCTGCTAAAGGCCAAGTTTAAGAAAAAATTAAATTGGGAAGGAGCTGCAAGAAAGCTGGGGAAACTAAGGTGAGGCAGGCAATGGTGCTTTCAAGCCCAGCAGGAGGAACTCTGTAGGAGATGAGTGAATATGCTGCAGATACAGTTCTGTGCTTTTGTGCTTCAGCAGCAATATATCCTTCTCTGGGTATGGGATTCTGCAAAGGATTGTTGAGACTTCCACAGATGCACTAAAACCTGTGTATTCATTTCTGAATTCTTCCTGTTGTTCACTAAAGTGCTGCTTGTAGTAGATACCCTTTGCAGTTCTATAGTTTGGAACTGGAAATGCTTGGACTCTTTTTGGAATCTGGCATTTTTTCCTTGATCTGCAAATGTACTTGTTTGTGTTGCTGTGCCTTTTCCATTTCTTACCTGTGATATCTGAGTTGAGGACACTGCTGTTGGCAACAGATACCCTTAACCCTTGAGGATAAGTGTGGGCCACAGTCACAAGGGGTAGTTCCACTGCCTTAACAGACTAGAGGAGCAAATTGGGAGCGTAAAGCCTAATTTCTGGTAAGGAATGAGAGAAATTGCAGGTTGCCAAGGGGGCCATTGGTTCCCATGAGGCTGGATGGTGTTTTCTGTCTGGGGCATCCATGGAGGAAGGGCTGTGGGTGCCGAGCACCACGTGTGGTTTGCAGTCTGGCTCAGCTGTCCTGAGCTCTGCAGTCTGCTTGAGAGCGATCTGGGGAGGAAGACTATGGAATCAGTTTTGCCATCTTCAGGTTTCAGTTCTGAGTGCACAGCTCCTTTTTGCCACTTTTTAGGAATCTGCTAATAGATATAAGTGAAAGCTCACAATCCCTGTGGCATATCAGCCACGGGAACAGCATGGTGCAGCAAAAGAGCCAAGGCAGGAGATAACGTAAATGAATTAGTTCTGCTGAATGATCCTTGCTGACGAGCAGCAGCATTCGTGTCTCCTGCCTTCTTCCTTCAACCCCTGGTCTTGTGAGTAGTAATGGTTCAGGCCTAAAAGTGAGGAAAGGCATTTATCCATCTCAGTAGAGTCTGGGTGACCATGCACTGCATCCCTGGATGGATTATGGACATTGCTAAAGTGGGTAGTTTGATGCTCTCAACCAGAGGAAAAAAAAATTAGGTAGTTTAGTTAAAATGTCAAAAGAAAATACTTATTTATTTATTTTCATTTTGAAAGATGAGGTTAAATAGATAGTTTTGTTTTCTAAAAAGCTGCCCTCCTCTCTTCAGTGGCTCATCCAATGCTCATCACTTAGGTATGAAGCCCAAAGTACACAACCGCATAGCCTATTATTTGTAAAGCAGGGTAACTGCCAAAGGCGAGTTGTGTGTGGGTGGGTCAGATACTGATCTAATTGTCTGTTCTGACCTGGTGTTGTAGTCGGTGGGGATTTTGCATATATTGCCGGGATGTGGCTTCTGATGTTTACACATCTGGCTTGGGCAAGTAATCAGCAGAAGATAATCAAACAGGTAGAGCAGGATTCGTAATCAGGAGGAGACTATCTTCACGTAAACAAAAGTTGATGGTGAAGTATTTGCTGTAGTCTTGTGCAGAAGTACTCACCTTGGATGTAAATACCTTTAGAAGCTGCATATGCTAATCTGAAACAATTGAAACTAAATTGAATAAAAGAAAAGGCAGTTAGGCACAGTAAATGTGACATAAAGTGTGACATAAAGTAGGTGAGGAAGGAGCTCTAAAATTAGGAGCCAAAAATAAAATTACAACTTGACAAACAGCATTCTGAACTGAGAACAATTAAGGAACTGAAGAAATCTCCAGAGTGGCAAACTACAATGTGCCGAGCAATTAGTGGAGAAATTTTCAAACTAGCATCTGAGTTTAGTGCAAAATAGTATCTGGGCTTAATTAGAGTCAACAAAATATTATCTATGCAGTTCTCATACTGCAAAGAGAAAAACAGTCACAATATTACAGGTCACCTGAATTCAGCATTTTTCCTGTCACTGAAATATAAAGAGAACATATGCAAAGTCACCATGATATTATAAAAAGATTCATTCCAATCCGGAAAATGTTGCTTCAGGAAGAAAGTTGCCTTTCTTTGACTGAAATGGTAGACAAGAGCAATTAAATGTTACTTTTGAGACATTTATTTTCCTATGCTAATGATGGGAAATTGATAATAACATGTAATTAAATTAACAATGTTATCGTACAGAACATTGAGTTAAAATAGGAGCAGCCTCTTATAAATCCTCTTTCCTGCATTCAGACTCAACAACAAATGCTGAGAAGCAGTTAATAAACTTAATGAAATTAGGGGTTTTAAGACATCTAATGCCTGATTATGGAGGAGAATATGCATATATGCTGAGCAATTTAATGCAGCGTTAAATATTTAAAGGGTTAAAGCCCGAGCAGTAAGCAATGAATAGTCATTAAGAGCCTGCCTAATACCAGGGATAATGAGGCTGTGAAAATCATAAAACCTCTTTTGGAGTAAAATCTCTTTGAGGGAAGATCATTTAGTGACAGCTTCGTGCCTCTGTGTGCCCGCATTGCTCCCAGCCAGCCTGGGGCACCTGCAGCTCCCCGGAGGAGGACAAGTCCCTGTGGCTGCTGCAGATGCAGCAAGTTCTGTGTGGCCAACGGCACCGGTTGGGTTGGCGATGAGAACAGCCGCCTCCCCACCGCCCCCACGCAGGGAGGTGGCTGCCAAGCCAGAGCCGCGATAGCCACATCAATGTGGCTAATGAAAATTGCAGAATTCAGCCATTTCTAACTGAGTTTCAGAAAGTCGAAGTAGGCATACCCTGAACTCTCACCCTGCTTGAGAAGTGCGCTACCCGAAAGTCCTGCACCAGCCGAGTAACGCCGGCAGCCCGTCTCAGCACTGTGCAGCCGTGTGCGTTTCTTGGTTTGCATAAAACACAACAGGCAGATTTAGAAATGAAAGAACATTAGGTTCCTGTAACATGAGTCATGTGTAGATGGTATGTGACTGAGACAGAATGTATGTGTGTTTTGTTGCCTCCAATCTAATCAACAAGTAGAATTTTCATTAGGAACTCATGCGCAGTGCAAACCAGCCTCTGTATGTGTGCAGCTCTTCTCCGGGGTCCATCTGCTTTTCCCCATGGTTGTCAGTGCAGTTCCACAATTTTCCAGGACATTATAAGTTGATCCTACCTTTGTGTAAATTTATATTAACTGATAATGAGCTTTTAATCCATACCTGTCAGTTGAAAAGTATCTTTGGAATATAACCTGGCTCTTCCATCAATATTTTTTTCATAATTTGAAAGGAAACTGAGGTAGGTATGGGAAATCAGACCTCTAATTCAAGTTCTCCATGAAATAAATCTTCCTAACATTGGTCAGAATTATGTTGTTAGTCCACTTGTTAGGTCTGTGACATAGTACTAATGTCTGTTTAGCCTGTTTTTTATTTTTCTTTTTTTTTTATCCATTTTCCTGCCTTACTCAAAACAGCAGCTCCTCAAACCAGTGCAGCAATAGTACAGCAGAGTGGGAATCAGATGAGTTGTTTTGTTAACTTGCTGGATGATTATGAATTACAGCTTAGAAAGCTGTAATCCTTCCAAATATTAGCTTCCTGAACATGCAGTGTTCCAGCCACTTAGCCAGTCAGGCATTTGCACAGCAGTATTTTCATGAGATGTGGGTCAGCCCTGGCATAGAGCACTGCCACGGGGATGGAGATGGGGATGGGTTGTGTCTGTGGGAACATGTGCCATGTTTTTGACGAACCATGCATCTGTGTAAGCATTAGTTGCATTGCACTGCTGTTCCTTTTCTGAGGAGGTGTGATTTGACAGATATTATACAGTTCCAAGTGTGAAGAAACTGTCCTTTATACCTAGTAGTAAAGTCATCCAACACAGGAACCGGAACTGCATTATCGTTCAAAAACCCGAACAACTTTGGTATATTAAGCTCCTGCCTTTGCTGTTTTGAGATTTCCATCAAACCAGATATATAGGCAAGGTAAAGTATTCTTTTGAAATCCAACCTAATCATTCAGTATAAGAATTTGAATATATTTTCACAAATTTGCAGGTAGTCACTGCTAGCAGCAGTGACACAAAGAGACAGGCCCAGACACCCTTGAACATGTAAAACTCAGTTCACTTAAGTAATCCCATGGGTGGTAATGTGCATAAGTTGCTGAGGTGAAGAACAAGTGGCAATGCAAATTTTCTCCTCCCCTAATATATGACTGTCATTTGTGTTTATTGCAGCAAAACCAGAGATTCTCACTTTCGATATACTTAGCAATGATATTCTCCAGTGCGTAGCAGCTGGCTTCCCAGCACCTGACATATATTGGTATTTTTCCCCAGGGACTGAACAGAGGTGAGTTCAGTAACTAGAGTCTCCAGACACTTTTCTAGATGTCACATGTGTAATTTATAATTAAAACCAGGAGTGTAAAAAAACTTGGTAAGAGGTATGCTCAAATGTTGCATTACTGATTTTATCATTTTAGATACTGCATTATTTACAGTGGTTTGAGGGGAAAGGAGGAGTATGCTTCATTACTCCCCATTGTGTTCACCCCAGAAGGAGGAATAATCAGCACTTTCTGCTGTGGAAAAGCAAAAACAGAACTTTATCTCTGCTTTATACCAGCTGACTTTGAAAGGTTTATATAAGTTTGGCCCCACATGACACACATTTTGTATGTAATTTCATGGAATGACAGTTGCAGAATCACTTGTGAATATGGCTGTTATCTTTTGTTTTATTGTGTAGCGGTGTAATTTTCCAAGACACAAAGTAATTAGATTTCTATTCACATGAAGCAAATGACAGAGTAAACAAGTCTGGAGTTATTAAGAATAAAACCTGATGTGAAGTTACCAGGTTTTCAAAAAGATTGTAGTGTTTCCCTGTGAAGTGCATATTTGTGAAGCCTGTTTAGAGATTTTCTTTGACTTCAACTGTGATTGTAGATCTCATACTGTCAAATCATATATTTCCCACCCACATAATTTACTTATGCCTAAAATAAATTTTATTTTCCTTTTTAATAGAAATCTTAACTGTGTGTTCAAAAAAAAAAAAGGAAGGTTGCATACTTTTAACTAGTTGATAGACAGTTTCTTAGGAAAAAAAAAAGTGTATTTGGTAGCAGCTTGAAAGAGCAAAGCTGTCTGTTTTTTGGCCACATATAACCGATGCTGCATATATATTTTATATATTTATGATATTTTGTGCTGTAATAAGACAGTGCTTCAGGCGAGTCTTCAGGAGTAGAAGAGGACCGTACCGAATTGCTTGAAAATGTTGCTGCAGGTGCCAGTTCCACAGTGCAGAGGCGCTGAGGGGCTTGCAGACGTGTGGGTGTTTCTAGCCAAAGGAGAACATAAAGACATGTGGTGTCCGTTTGCATCCAGTTTGATATATGAATCCATCTTGCCCACTGCATGGAAGAGAATGAGAGATCCTGTGTAGGCTAAGAGTTGAGGATAAGATCTTCAACTCATTCTGTTTATGGAGCAGTGTTACTGAGTCCCTTCCAGATCATTAGCTAATGACTATCTACTTTAACAGGGCAACCTGTCATTCCTTCTGGATAGTAACTCAGAGCAGGTAATTATCAGTGTTGTTTCTCCCAGGTGTTTTGATTCACCAACAGTATCCCCCTTGGATGTGAGAATCAATTACACAAATTCCTCGGCGCTGTCCTTCGAAAGGATCCTGGTTGAGAGCACCATCAACGTGAGCATGTTCAGGAGCACCGGCACCGTGTGCTGCGAGGCCTCCAGCAACGGGCACAAGAGTTCTGCTTTTTTCTACTTTGCTATTAAAGGTAGTGGCTAGAATGAATGAGACTACAGTATAAACTTCAGTAAATGTTGGTGCCATTCAGCTCTTTCCATTGTAAGAAAATTAGTATTTTCAGTGTGTAACGTTTACCGTAACAAAGCTTGCTATGGCTGAGTGCATGATAACATATTAGACTACATTTTCTGCCAGTGCATTACTTTTCATTTTAAATGCTGTGGTGTAGTGTGTTAACTGCTTCAAAACTGCAGCATGACCGTTATCTGTTTTTCTTCGGTCTGCAGTGTGATCTAGCACAGAGACAAACCACCTACAGCGCTGCAGTGCGTTACTTTATCGCTCTTGCCCCTTCTCTTTTCCTGTCTTTGTCATGCGCAGGCCATCAGCTCTCGCAAGGAAACACTGCATTTTCTTTCTGTTTTTATAGTGTCTCAGGAACATGGGGTCTTAAGCTTGAGTAGAGCTTGAAGGCCCTGGTCTTATAAAAGAAATAACAACAATATTCTGCAAAAGTGCTTAAGAGTTTTGACATCTCTAGCAATATTTGTGAGTTTGCAAAAATAAAACTCAAACAGAGATTAACTGGAATATGTTAGCAAATCTTTGCTTTTCTTTGCAAAGTCAAATATTCAGCTTTTTTTTTTTTCTTGTGATACACAGGGATAACATATAGCCAACTGAGCTAGATTTGGGGCATACTGATTTTATGGCAATAGTATTCTTTTTGCTACTTTGTACAGCCTCTATTTGCCAGGAATACATTATAGAGATCACACTTGGAAAAATGGATTTTAAGAGAAATCTTACTCATAAGCATCTGCCTTTATCTTGATTGTGGTCATACAAAGCCCTGCATTAACTGGTCTTGGTTTCATGACTTCTAACTTGAAGAAGTTGAGACTGGTGAAGAAACAGATTACTTGGTTCTTATCTCTCCTTAGACCTTACTCAAGAAAGTGATCCTGATGTATTTAAAACACATCTGGGGAAGCCAAAGCCCTAAACCTTGTCCAACATGAAAGAACCAGAAAAAAAAATCTCCTGAATCTTTTTAATATTGTTTTTCTTACTCACTGTTTAAGCAGAATTTTCTGTTTCTTTCCAGAGCAAATCCGTACCCATACCCTTTTCACACCTTTGCTAATAGCATTTGGAGTAGCTGCAGGACTGATGTGCATCATAGTCATGATTCTGGTGTACATATATTTGCAGGTAATATGCGAAGCTTCTTTGCCTGAGTTACTAAAGTGTATGAAGCATCTGCAAATGCTTCAGTAATGACAGCCTTTCTCTTTCCTTTCCAGAAACCCAAATATGAAGTTCAGTGGAGAGTTGTTGAAGAAATAAATGGAAACAACTATATTTATGTAGACCCAACACAACTTCCTTATGATCACAAATGGGAATTTCCTAGAAACCGACTGAGTTTAGGTTAGTTTAGGTTTATATAATTTCATCTGCAAGGTGAAGCTTTCCAGTCTTCTAAATAGAACTCGTGGTCAAACACAGCAGGGTTTGGTTAAAAAGACGTAGTAATGCACTAATGGACATAGTGATAATTGCTCATACCTTAGGGGAAAAAGCAGAATAGATGTAAAGTAAAATGTTAAACCTTTATGAAGAAGTGTTCCAGGTTGTAATGATATATTTTGTTTGTGTTTATTAGGTAAAACTCTTGGTGCTGGAGCTTTTGGAAAGGTTGTTGAAGCCACTGCTTATGGTCTGTTTAAATCTGATGCTGCTATGACAGTAGCAGTAAAAATGTTGAAGCGTAAGTCACTGAAATATATATATATTTTTTCCAACTTCCTTCTGGTGGGTAGTCTTATTTACTGAATGTTGAATTTTGCCTTACAGCAAGTGCCCATTTAACAGAAAGAGAAGCTTTGATGTCAGAGCTTAAAGTCCTGAGTTACCTCGGTAACCATATTAATATTGTGAATCTTCTTGGAGCTTGCACTATTGGAGGTAGGGTTATCAACAGCTTATAGATTTTTTTCTATTACGTTTATTGTTGTTGTTGTTTGTAGTCAGAAGAAGAAACTATGTGAAGAAGAATACAGTACTGTTAAGTATGAAAATCTGAAATGCTTGCTTAGGTGGTTCACTGCTCATTGTGATTATCATCATGTATGTCTTAAGTTTTTTCTCCACCGCCCTGTTTGTCAGAAACTAGCAAAGATATGTGAATTGGTTGCTTGTTGGCATCCAAAATGAAGTCAACGGGCTCATCTTGTATCATCCCCCAATGTTCTGCTTAAACTGTTAAGAGTATTTGTTAATGCACCATTAAAGTTACAAATCTAAACAATAAAAGAATGAGTAAAAGAATTTCCCAGAGAAATAGTATTGCACGGCCCAAATGTTTTATATTCAAGAATATTGACATTAACATTATTATTATGCATAATGTTTATTTTTTGATACAGTAAAAGCTATAAAACCACTGAAATGTCAATACAGAGTGGACACAGCTCTTTTCCTAAGAACCATAACAGTCATTTTAATTTATGTGCATTTTGATAACAGGATGACATTCTTTTGTACAGAAATATTTGCTTTTCAAGGTTTGTTCCATTTTTCAAAGAAAGGGAGCTTGTAAAAATTCAGTGCTTTAGACGGAAGTACAGCGTTTCTCACTTTCAAATTTAATGGTTTAAAAATAGGATAAAGCAATTTGGTTTAAATGATCAGCAAAGCAGACTCACTGGCCTAAGTACATATCTATTTCAGGCAGCTGCAAAATCATGGGGACTCTTAAGAAAATCTGAAGATAATCACTGTTTTTGCTGTCAAAAAAACCTATAATTATTAAATTCAGAAAATAGAATTAAATTGTTGAGTTTAGGAAATGGTGGAAGGGAGTAACCTTACAGAAGAAATAACATTCAGCATGATTACATATTCAAGTGTCATAGCTGTAGTCATTCACTCAGAAAACATATATCTGATCTATAAACATCCGCACTGGAGATGACTTGATTCTCCTTTTAGATTTCATTTTAATATTCTAAGACCTTTTGCAATGTAGTTTTCTGTCTCAGCAGGCTGTTCTGTTTGAATGATTTTTCCTATTATACTGCAGAATATAACACTCTACATCATTTCCAAAACATTACTGAAGGAGTGTGAAGCTCTACTGTAAACAGAAGTGAATCAAAAGGATTAATGTTTGAAGCTTGAATTACTCTAACGTTTGGAACAAATAACTTCCTTCAGGAAGTGAACAAAATCAAACAGATGTGTCTGGCCAGAAACATTATCACATGAAGAGAGGGAAAAGGACTTATTTGTTTAATTTTTGTATAATGCAATACTATTGAGAGCAGGGGAGAATTAACTGGGAGTGACACAGCTTTAGCTGGACAATAGTTGCAGATCTGTGAAAGGGAGGATGTAGGAGGCTATTTTTCTATAACTTTCCAAGTCTAGACAGTGTTTGGTAGTGTGATTTTTATTAGTGTAGCTTGTGTGTTTAGCTGAATGTTATTTTTACAGAAGGTTTTATGCTTTGAAAACAATGCTCACCTGCTTTCTCAACCACGCATACATCTGCAGGTCCCACTCTGGTGATTACAGAATATTGCTGCTATGGTGATCTTTTGAATTTTCTGAGGCGGAAAAGACATTCATTTATTTGTCCAAAACGTGAAGATCGCACAAAAACAGCAGGTTATGAGAACCTGTTGCCTCAGACAGAGCCTGCAGTGTAAGTATGATCTGCTGAAATGTTCCTGCATTTTGAGAAACACAGAAGGAGGGCGTATCAAAGTTCATTAGCGATAAGAAAATTGGAGAAACCTTTCCTGCAGCAGGCTTTGAAGATTCTTTGCTGTGCAAGAAAACAATTTATTAAAAGAGACCGTTTGTACAATGGGTGACTTATTCGAACAGGGCTCAATTCATTGTATGCATTCTGTGTTTTACTTCTTTATCAAATTTCCTGTAGTTATTTCACGCAACTTCTTGGCTCTAATCTTAATATGTATTTGTGTTTATCATTACTACTAATCGTTGGCAGCAGTCATTTAGCAGCTTGAATGACAATTCCCCCAGTGTTGTGGTGGTAAGGTTCTGAGCTCTCTTAAGTTCCTGCCTGCAGAAATGACTTTTTACAACTGAAACAGTGCCTTACTGTATCAGAGGCAGCCTGTTGCTCGTGGTTCGCTAGACCTTGTGATAATACAACCCATGGCGCCGTTCTCAGCTTGCTCTTTTGAACTAAGTTACTTCATCTGTATATTTTTCACTGTTCCATTTTAGATACAAGCCTGGTGTTCTCTCCAAGTACATTTCCAAGCACATTTCCTGCTAACAGATTTCCTTTTAGAAAGTAAAAGAGAAATCATTTGCCAAAACTTAGAGTTAGTTACAATAATCCCTCCATTTTTGATTTTAGTCTGTGTGTGCCTTCAGTGCTCCTTGTCCCAGCAAGGCATATTCACAGCAAGGCTGTACAGGCAATGGCATTATAGTAAGCAAATAGTCCATCTTATAATAGATGGATTTAAAGAAATTACTCCTTTTCATTAGGAACATGAAGCCATGGTTTTCCACAGGTGTATCTCCTTCCTCTTTTGAACATAATAACAATGGTGCCTTTACCAAATTCTCATATTAGCTTTTATTGTAAAGTTGCAGCTGCTAAACACTCCAGAAGTGCTTGTGGTTTGGTGATGACTAGAGCTATTGGTGATCTCATAACTACTTTCCACGTTAGCTCTGTGGCTGCATTTATTGTTCATAAAATAAACAGATATCTCAGAATGGAGAAGGGCCATCTATGTATGTGAGTTCTAATAGCATATTTTTGTTCATCTAAATGAAAAACACTGAAGTTCATCCATTGTTTCTAAATGCACCTAACTTTATGGGAATCTGTACTGCTCAACTATAAGTAAGAAAATAAGCAATAAAAAAGCTTAAATTTAAAACACATAGCAGATCACGGTCCTAAGCCTTGGCTGATTCTTTGATTTCTGTCCTTTGAATATCCAGAATTTCCTTTGGAACTCATGAAGCTTTGAATTCAAATGTTTTTAACCATTTTGTCTTCTGCATTTCAATTGCCATGTGAACTGCTGAAATACTAACATAGAAGTTGGCCTAGATGAAAGAAGGAAGCATTAGCAGATCCTATGAAACATCTGGCCATTCATCTATAGAGACTGTAGTCTTGATAAACAGTGCACACGTGAAAGGTTTTGTTTGCCAAAATCCAACCTTTGGGATGCATTGTAAATTTTCCTCACAACCCTCACTTTCTATACAGGCCTTTTCTCATCGTTTTTAGACATCTGTAATTTTCCAGTATTATTAATTTGTAAAACATTTTACTCAGAATGGTGGCTTAAGGTTGACTTTTTCTTTGAAACTTCTCACTAAATGACATTTAATCTGCTGCCTTTACAGTGATGTTGTCAATGAGTACATGGACATGAAACCAGGATTGTCGTATTCAGTCCCCCCAGAAGCTGATAAAAAAAGACCAGTGAAATCTGGTAAGTACAATAACAAGAAATTGTATCTGCTCCTTGGAGTGCAGAGAGGAGGGGGTTATGGAATTTTTCAGTTTTAAAATGTTTGTGCGATTCATACCCATTGGTATGAGAAGATTAAAAAAGAATATGCTAAATTACAGTGTCTTGTATTTGTCCACAGTTTTGTGGACTACCAGGATTATTTTTTACTTTTTGGCAATGGGTTCTTTCTGTGGTTTTAGTCTGGTACTTGTTCAGATCATTGTTTTGTTTAATGTAATACAAATTTGTTTCTATGTGATTATACCCAGTCCACTCAAAAGCAGTTGGTGTTTATATTGCATAGGATCCTACTCTGATCAGGATGCTACCCTTTCTATGTTGGGAGACGATGGGCTTGCTCTAGATGTTGAAGATCTGCTAAGCTTTTCCTACCAGGTGGCAAGGGGCATGAGCTTCCTTGCCTCTAAAAATGTAAGTAAGTTAAAAAATTTTGAGAGACAGAATCTATGTCTCTGATTTCCTTTAACATCACATGTCATATCTTAATGTAGTCCACATGCTGAGATGGAATTCATGAAGGAATCAGATCCCTAATGTTTGGATGCCTTCAAAAACAAATTAGTTTTGAAAGTTTTTGTTCTCTGTGGCACCTCTGAAGAGTATGCAGACTAAAGATCAGTATGAAGACAGCTGAAAAGCTATTTGCATTTTTAAAAGTTTTGAGTATCTGTAAAGCTTTAAACAATGCCACAATTGATACCTCTGTGATACAGAATGCTGTGTTTAGAGGAGGGAGTGGTGTGGGTGTTGTGTTTTGTTTTGTTTTTTTTGATGTTACTAGATAACTTGTTTTTAATTCTCTTAAAAAGTAAAATCGACACTCACAAATGATCTTCATTGTCTACACTGAACGAAATAGGCATTCTCTAGGTGTCACAAGAGGGACATGGCATATCAGAGAGGTGTTTTTACAGAACAATAGGCTTAAACACTGCATAATTGTGGTCTCCCTAGGAAGAAAAAGGAACAATGACAGTTAACATGTAATAATAAAAATTGTAATTCATATAGAGACAGGACTGGGTAGTAGTACCTTGAATGCAGTTTCAAAAGTAAACTTGCCCCGTTTGAGGAAAGTGAGGTAAACCAGCAATCCTGTGTTAACAGTGGGATGTGTGGCCCTGATGCTGCTCCAGCAGAAGTCCCTGTTGAAACTGGCACTTGCAAAGTTGAGTGGATCTTATTTTTTTTCTGCTGTTCCTCCTTCCAAGTGCATTAACTTATTTTTTTCAGCTCTTCCTAGCCTCAAAACGGGCCTCAAAGACGCATCATTACAGATTTTAACGGTCTTCACCAGACTCCTGCCTTCTTCACTGTTCAGGACAGGTGGTGCTTAACAGACATACTCTTTATTTATTTTTCTACAGATAGCCCCAGAAATTCATTGTGCGTCACTCCTGGTGAATGTTTTCTTATAGTTTTTCCTTGATGGATAGAGCCTCTGTCTCACTGAATAGCAAAGACAGTAATGGCTGTAAAATCACATCTCAGGGAGGCTGGGAAGTAACTTTGCATCCGTTTGCCAGCACAGAATTAGGGATTTTATCACTGAATGAAGGTAAAAGTTCCGAGGTTTAGTCCTCTTTGCTCGTTGTGTTGTGTTCATACATGCCTCTGGTGAAGCTCATCGATGTTTAGGGAGGTTTACCAAAGCAAGTCCTCAGAGAAGGGGGCCCCGCATGGACCTGTAGCACAGAGTGCCCAGCTGCTCTTCTCCTGTGTATTCGTGTGTCAGGGCTCAGACACAAAAGTGTTTCTGTGGGGGATACGTGTCTTTCCTGGGGGCACGATTCCCTTGATAAGTGCATCACAAGACAGTTCTCCCTCCACTGGACAAAGTCTTTATTCAATAGCAAATTCAACTGCTTTGGGAGGTGTAAAGCAGAGACTCACCCGATACGTGGCCATTCCCTTCACTTTCCTTTTTTGGGGCAATTACACTGTTAGTTTTCCACATGCAAAGGGAATGATGATTTGGGCAGGGATTTGAATGACTCCCCCAGAGAGTAATTGTCATTAAAAATAGTTCCTCAGTGTGCAATTCATGCACTTCGTTGGCTTATTGCAGCCTTCACTAAGCATTTACTGACTTTGAATTGATCAGCTCTTCCAATTTTTTTTTTTGCCATTTTTGCGTGGAATTCCTGAAATTCTCTATTTCAAGGAAAAAATGAAGAGAAAAATTCAAGCATCCTCAGTTGTTTGTAGACAGGGAGTCCTATGTGTTTTATATGATCAGCAAAGGAAGAACTTAAGGCTATGTTTTCTGTAGTAGATGTCAAAAGACAATTCTTTTGGCTACCTCCTTTCATAAACGCACATGAATGTGCTCCACAGTTGGGTAGAAAGAAAATATAAGTCCTGGTAAAGTCAACAACCCTTCTGTAGCTGCACTTACAAACATGTGCCTACTTCTGAAATGAAAACCGGAATATCAGCTAGCTAGGTCACCGAACACATCACAGTGTTCATCACAGCATGTGAAAACCTCCAAGTATTTCCAAAGGCTTAGACCTACTCGTAAAGCTCTCCTAGGCAGGTAGTGACTTAAGTCGTCCAGAGAGGTATTTTTGAAATGAGTGTGAGTCTCCTAACTTGTGTGTTTTGAAATCGTTGCCATGATCTTGCCTGTTTCCAGCTTTTCAACCACAACAGTAGCTTCATAAAGGATTGGAATTGTTTTAGAATTAAATTTCTCCGTGTTTGTCCTATGTTAGGAAACAAGTCAATGACTTTGATGAAAAGGTCAAGAGAAAAATCTGTCCCCAGCATAGAACATGCACATTAAACTTTTCCTGCAAATGTTGGAAAAAAATTAAGTGACTGCAAGTAGTCTTTTCTGAAAGAAATGCATAGAGAACCTTAAGTGTGTGGATCAATAGCATGGTTGTAAAGCTACTACACCAGTGTTTTAATCACCTGAGTAAGCTTTTTAACAAATTATTTCACTGTGACCTTCAGCTAATCAAAAATGCATAATGCAGTAAGTATATAACCAAGAAAACATGCAACCAAGCAGCAGTGCTTTAAGGATATTATAATGTAAGTGAATTTGTTGTCTGTTTGTTATTTAGTGCATTCATAGGGATCTGGCAGCAAGAAATATTCTCCTCACTCATGGCCGAATAACAAAAATCTGTGACTTTGGCTTGGCAAGAGATATAAGGAACGATTCAAATTATGTGATCAAAGGAAATGTAAGTATATATGATATTTAATCCACCAAATTTAAATTTGGGAAATTCCTCTGCATTCTCTTGACTTACAAAGAAATCTCTTAGACCATATCTGGACCTCTCAATTCTGGTATATATCTGTTCTGGCCAGGGCCAGAACTGTGTAGAGAGGCAATTCCTGCCCTCCTTATGTGTGTTGCCAAATGTGAAGTGTATACATACTGTTATAACAGAAAATCCATGCTTGTAGCTGAACTTCTGCCGTGCTGGAGGAGATGCTTTTGTTGCACCAAGATAACATGTAGTCTTTTTGTTATATCTGGACATACTAGAAGTTACAACTCTGTGAGTACAGTAAGTTTTGCTGTTGGAATACTCTGGTAGACTAAGCCTAATAGTGATTACTTGGGAACTTCTCCTGTGGGCATTACTGGTTTTGTCTATAACTGAAATAATATATTTTAAAAACATCTAAATAACCAAGGTTTTGCATCCTCCTCTTTGTTATAAAATGTTACTCAGAAAGCAGAAACAACATTCTAGAAGTGTGAATTTAGTGGTTAGTGGGAAGCAAAGAAGCCTTGTTTTTTTTTTTTCTGATTCCATATACTTTAGCCTTTTATGTGTAATAAATATGGCTGTAACTTTCAGCTATAGCTCCTACCCTGTAATAAGTAAACATCAGTCGGAATGAGACACAATATTTTGATGAGAAAAGCTTAAAACTTCCTCTGCAGAAGAGTATCAATTATACTAGCACCTACTAGACCTTCGCACAGGTACAAAGACACTTTGAAGTGATGCAGATTATATTGGCAGTGCTTGAAGTCCCCTTTTAAAATGCAAGAGCAGTAAAAAGAGTCATACCGCAAAAGAAAATGAAGCCTGTCTATGGTTAGGCTGGAGAAGTGTGCTGGGAAGGTGATTTTCCCCATAGGTATTTTGCATCTCAAACTGATTTTTGCGTTTATGTTGCTGTTTTTATTCCACTTCATGTGCACCCATCTCCTACCTTCAGAGCAAACACCTTGTGATTTGTGCAGTTTTTAAAAGAAATGAAGAAGAGTGTTCAGCAAAGCAGTCTCCCACCACCCCTATGTGATGCACAGTGGTCAGAAAGTCAGAAGTTGGTCTCTAGCTAAGGACTTGACCACAAACCACAGGTTACCTGTCTGGGATTTTCAGGCTGGAAAAGAAAGGAAATCCCATGCTGAGATACTTCTCACTGATTTTTTTTTTCTGTTTTGTTAACCTCAGTTCACAGTACTTCGAGTTTCCCAGGTACCTCTGCTGTCCCCCAGCAGGTCCCAGACAACCAGAGCAACCCTCTTTTAGGCTGCAGGGATGTAGAGAGAAGGTTTTGTTTGTTGTCTTCAGTGCCAGAGTTGGTGGCAGCCACTGCATGCCTGGAAGTTGAGATTAGGGAATAGTAGGAGCCCCAGAAATTCAGGGATGGCTCTCCTGGCCAAACATTCAGCAGCATCTAGTGTGAAGAAGGCTGTTTCTAAGCTTGGTGTCAGGTCAGGAGGTGCTTGATCAGTCAGTGCGCTAGGGTTGGGAGGTGCAGACCAGCTGCTTGCGCAGGAAGCAGGCAGTAAGTAATTACATTTTACTCGTCTAGACTCTACTTTAAATTTACCGGATTTTACTTAGGCTGGAGGGTCAGAAGAGGATAGGCTGGAGCTGCTGGTGGGGGAGGACGCAGGGGCTGCAGGGGCATCTGGGAGCATCTGGCCTGATCTTAAACCAAGCCAGGAGCGCTGAGGGCCTTGGCAAAGCTGGAGCTTGGCCAAGCAGAGCGTGGCTATCCCTGCTCTTCAGGACTCTGGTTGCCTCTCTGTTGTGCTACATGTTCTTGCAGTTACCTGAAACGTCAGGCAGCCAACGAAAAATCCTACCTGTCTTCTGCCTCATTTCTTCCCTTGTCCATTCATCTCCTTTCCACATCTGTCGTCTTCCTTTACAAGACATCAAGGCTCTTCTCTGTGATGTGGTTGAAATATGTGTTTGAACATATTGTTGCAGGATCACTTAAAAGGAAGAGGTCTGGTTTCTCCTGGGGCAGGACAAGCACTTAGGACAGAGGCTTAACTGGCTCCCCCAGACAAGAAAAAAGGCAGAGTAGGGACAGGAAAAAGAAAGAAAATGCAGAGGCTTTCTGCTTTTCACCCTTTCCCCTGCTCTGACTGGCATTTTTTCCTGAAGAATATCTGTTCCCACATGAGCCTCTGAAAATGCTCAAGATGTCTTTATGTGAATTTTCACTTTTTTTTTCCCCCCCCTCGTACACTAAGGAGCTAAAGCAGATGTCTGAACTGAGTATGTGTGGGGACCTTTTCAGTGATAGCTATGATGGCCAGGCCACAGAAGGAGGCTTGTATGTTTGCATAAGGAACAGTGCCATGTTTATACATACTCTTTTGCTCTGATTTCCTGCCATCTCTTACAACCAGACAAAGGGAATCACACAGTATACAGAAAATCAGAGTGCAGGGAGCTGCACAAGTTTGGTGGACCTATAGGAAGATGGATCATTAACCATGAAACACTTGTTATTCTCCCTAAAATGCAGAGAATTTCCATTTTTTAGGTGGATAGTTCTGTTATCCAATTAAACAGGTATTTAAAACACATAATATGTATACAAATCATTGTATGTTGTTAAAATTTACACCTGATGTCCGTTGTCTTATTTGAATCTCTTTTCCGTGGAAAGGCTCGACTCCCTGTGAAGTGGATGGCGCCTGAAAGCATTTTCAATTGTGTTTACACCTTTGAAAGCGATGTCTGGTCTTACGGGATATTCCTGTGGGAGCTCTTCTCTTTAGGTAAGCTGCGTCGCGGTCTCTGCTGCAGGAGACCCGTGTTCATCTTGGTTTTACCCCGCTGTGGAGGTGACATTGCTCGCTTGTCCTCCTAACAGGAAGCAGCCCGTATCCAGGGATGCCTGTGGACTCCAAGTTCTACAGAATGATCAGGGAGGGATACAGGATGTTCAGCCCCGAGTGTGCACCGCCTGAAATGTAAGTGAGCAGCCTGCACCTCCCATCACCAAATACCTGTGATGGTGCAGGGGAAGGGAAACTTCCGTATTTGCATTAAGACTCTTCATAGTGCTCCACTGTCTTCAAGTTCCTTTCAAATTTTATGCATGCAATCTAGTTAGTGTAATACATGCCTATGTTGTTGCACACAGTGCAATACACTCTTGCCTTTTAACATCTGATCACTTCACCATGGCATCTGCTCTGTGTCACTCAAATATTGGTAGATTGCAGAGCATGTTGAACGTTTTTATTTCAGATAAAGCAGTCAGTAAGATGTATTATCAAAATGTAGGACACCTGCATTTGTGCTGTGCTTCCTGGCTGCGCAGGGACTGGCCACTTCGGAGTCATCCTTCATTCACTGTTTTGTAAACAGACTGGCACTTATCAAGCTGTCAAAGAAAACTGTGCCCAGAGCCTCTCCTGAGTATGGAGTCCTTTGTTGTCACAAGCTCAGGTGTTAATAGTGCCATTTCTATTCTTAAAGGCACTTAAGTTAAATGGTGAGTGGGTGTCACACTTCTCTGCCTGCTCACTCTCTAAAAGCAATAATAGAGGCAAGACAAGAGCTCTCAGAATTCCCTCATCATCAGTGCTTAATTTTAGTATCTTTGCAGGTATGGCATAATGAAGAGTTGCTGGGATGCTGATCCTCTACAGAGACCCACATTTAAACAAATCGTCCAGCTGATCGAGCAGCAGCTTTCAGATAATGCTCCCCGGGTAAGTGTGGGCTCCATATGGCTTTTGGGGTCAAAGCTGTTTTGAATAAGAGCTTAGACTAGAGCTGGAAGAAGGGAAGGATCTCGACGCTTCCTTAGGTTTTTTTTCCCATTATTATCTATGTGCTGTAAGTTTGGGTGTTGGGAATGCTCTCTGCGCTATCCCTTCTGCTTTGCAGGACTATTTCTGCCCAGATGTACAATAGTTGTCTGAGTCCAGCCACTGAAACAGGTATCAGCTAAACAACAGGCTTTGCATGGCTTCATGTTGCACGCTCAAAATATACCCACCACAATAATTTTGATTATACAAAATACACCGGTACCTTTTAAACTCATCCTAATCTATGAAAGCCTTTATTTATCTGGGAGAAATCTCAGAAGTGAAATATATTTAACTTTTATTTGAAAAGCTTTCTGGACAAAGGTGTCAAGCTTTTTTGGCTATCCTGTCTCTTCTCAGTTACTTCAGCTCATTGTATTCACTGTTCTTCAGACTTTCTCAAGTAAAATGTTTTCTGAGATGATAATTGGATAAAAAGTCCAAAAAAAAAGTCAAGGGATGTAAGAGCTTGGGATTTTCTCTCACTCATTATTTGATTTTTTTTTTTTAAAAAAAAAGAAGAACAGAAAGGTTTAAAATTTGGTCTAGAAGTCAAGCTTGTACAGTCTAGATGCTGTGTTTGGGCACAAAGTACACAGCTTGCTAACAATTCGAGAAAAGAAAAAAATGAAAGCTGTTGGCATTCAATTGCATCCTGTATAGTATTTTTGGCAGGTGCAGGCATTACTAAAACAAAGGCAAGAACATGGGAAAAAATGTTAGCGATGTGACTGGGGTAATTTTAACAATAACCCGAGCTGCATTTTTTCAAACTTAGCTTATATTTAATGAGTAGTCGTAAGCTACAGTGTTTTTGATAACCAAGGTTGAGGTTCTTGACTCATTTAAAGAGCAATTACCCCCAAGACCTTTGGAAACTTCACTGCTAGCAAAAGAGCGCTTTGTGAGTGTGTGTGCAGGAGCTTTTACACTCCACTGACCACAGTGTTTGGGCTCTGCAGGTTTATGAAAACTTTGCAACTCCACCTTCTGGTCAAGGGAACGCTACAGATCACTCTGTGCGGATTAACTCGGTGGACAGCAGCACTTCAGCGACTCAGCCCCTCCTGGTACGCGAAGATGTTTGAGAGAGGGGCTGGCGTCTGGAAGAGGAGGAGCCCACGTGGATTCACCATTTGAATTTTGCAGGGAGTGAGAGGCATGGATGACTTTAATAATTTCTCTTCCTTTTACTCACTACTACCACTGTGTAGCTGAAATGTTGTTGTAATACTGTCCTTTACCACACACTGTTACACATAAACTTACTCTGCCAAGCACGGTTACAGGCATCATTGCAATGTTAACTGAAGCTGTATATATGTTGCTATTGTTGTGTGTATTTGCAGTAGAGAGCCAGATCTGAGGGGAAAAAAAAAAAGAAAAAAGAAATCCTGAGCCAGGGTGTGGAAAGAGATGAATATACAGATCAAACCAAAACTGCAGCAGTCCTGCTCTGGATCTGTGTCTGGAAAGCATTTTGTCATCTTCTAGTTAACTTCATTTTGCTGAGTTTAAGAAATAAATCAATGTAAAGCTACTTGCTTCCCAAGCCCCTTTCCACGTGCACCTTTCCCAGGCAGGCGTCCAGGCTGCAGGCACCGAGGGTGCTGGGCATGCCAGGGCGAGCGAGGGAAGGGAGCGAATCCCTTGGGCTGTGCCGTGCTCCGGAGGGCTGCAAACCCTCCTCTGGGATTCGAGCCAGGTGCTGAGAGGGTAGCGCAGACCTTTGCTTTTGCTTCCCGTTGCAGAGCTGGAGCCCGGCCGTGGCAGCGCTGGGGCTCAGCTGCTGCTTTTCCTGATAGTCTCATCCCCAAGTGGCCACCAGAGATAGATGGGCCCTGCTGGGTCGGTCGAAGTGTGGGGGAGCCGTTTGTTAGAAACTATGTGTGATGTGCAGAGGAGAGACTGTTGAACGAGTCATCTTATCTGGAGGGGAACCAGAGACACAGATCCTCTCCTGAGGGTCCTTCCTTTATCTTTCCCTGCCCAGGTGAGTATTTCTCATAGGCAGGCTGGGATAGCACTAACTGGAAAGGGCTATTCCCCACACCCGGGGCATTTCATCTTTCCAGCTCTACCCTAGCACTGGGACGATAATGGAAGAAGAGCTTAGCTGGGAAACATGGAATTTCTAAACAGGACCAGACTCTACCTTCAGCCTTGTTTTGAATGGAGGAGACATTGGGGTCAGTGTCTGGTTGAGCCCAGGGCTGTGCTGAAGTGTTTTATAAGCCCTTTTGTTCCCATCACTGCTGGTCTTCCCTTCCTTCATTTCCATCACCTATAAATTAGTAAATTCATTGAGAGCAACATTTCAGAGACAGAGTACTAGTTAAGTACCTATTTATTTACAATGCACTTAAGCACTCTGTAATTTATACTTTATCAGGATTTTGGTTGAGTTTACATTCATTTTAAATGTGTAACTAACTGCCCAAATGCAAGATAGTTATCTTGCGATAGTTATCGCTGGTAGTATATTTTAGGTTATAGGGAATACCACCCTCTTTATATGACTGTGCATTTGGTTTCTTGTTACAGAAATACGTCTTTCAGAGCTAGTGAAAAATCAGCCATTTGCACTGAACTTACCTAGGCTGTCGCACCTTTCCAAAGTTAGCCAGTTGTTTGGAGGCACTCTTATGCATACTTGTTGTTGAGCATTTTCAGTTTAATGCTATAAAAGCTCTTTTGTAGTGTGTTGGCTTTCAGAGCAACTGTAGACAAACTAGTTGTTATAGATGTCTCGGTACTTTACAGACACTTAGCTGAAAGAGGTTTGGGGGGTTTTTTTGTTCTTGAAATTTATATTTTTATAATTTGGGGATTTTTGAAACTTACTTTGCAATGGCTTGGTGTTTTGAATGGTTTTATGCATTGTTTTTTGTAAATATGGAAATGTAGCAATAATGTCCTTTTGACTATTCTGAGTCCTTGAGTCTCAAAAATATTTTTTTATATATATATATGCAAAAATATATGTATAAATATGTAAGTGTTTGAAAGTTTATGAAACACTTATGGATATGTTGCTCAGTTGTAGAATTGCAGTTCAAAAAGTTCAAATAAATTCGTAAATATGTATTCAAATGCTGCTGTGTACTATGTTCAAATGAGATATTTTCATGTAAGTCAATAAATTCTTGGGTTGAAGCAAAATCTCAGCGTCTGGCCACACAGAGGTAAAGTTTGGAAATCTGAAATGTTTTTGCAAATGTGTGCCGGAAAACCTTGGTGTTTTTTCTTCACGGATATTCTTTTCCTGTGAGTATACAGGGGAAACACTTTGTTGATCGCGTGTAGGTTTATTTTGTAGGAAGGTGCAGTTAAGATATTGGTCTGGTAGACAGCAGACGCAGTCTGCATGACATGAATGGGAGCATTTAAAATGGTTAAATACATAGAAGCGGTTGATCTTAAAAGTGGTTGGTCTTAAAAGCGGTTGATCTTAAAAGCAGTTGGAGCCAACAGAAGACGCCACTGCAGACTGCCCAGTATCGCCTTGGCGCTCGCGCACGTGTACGCGCACACGCACCGTGCACCGGCCCGGCCTAGCGCTGGCGCTGGGCAGGCGGAACGCGGTGCTGCGAGCACTGCTTGGGTGCTGGGGGTGACAAAGCTAAAGGGGGACTGCAGGGCTCCCCTGGCTGCTCCAGACACACCACCTCGCAGCGGGAAACCATCTGCTTTTATCCTGCTGGGAATCTGCTTCGTCTGCCCAGACCTGGCCCTCTGCTGCAACAGGCCTTCGCATGGTTGATGCATGGTTTTAATAGTAGGTACAGAGCATTTTTCTGTGCAATTTCTTAAAAAAAAAAAAATCATTCTCCTATTTTCTTCTTACAAGGCTTGCAGTGATTACTGCCTCCATTCCTGTTCATGGTCACACACACCATTTCCCTACCCCCAGGTGACCAAATCATTTTTCTGTGCCAGCTCTAAGCAATTGCTTACATGGAAGGTGACATCAGGAGGACAGATATACATTAATATGTATTTTAGCTGTCTTTCAGACCATTCCTGTACCCAGGAAAAAAAAAAGAACCAGAACCATGGTACCAGCAGCTCTCTGGACCATCAGCAAGAACAGTTTGGGGAATCTCAGATGTAACATTCACTTGACCAGAAAACAACAACAACAAAAAAGTAGGGAATTTCTTTACATTTTATTTACAAGCAAGAGAAAAAAAATAGCTGAAGGCTCTGTGGGAGAGATGATGATACTGAAAACACTCTTCATGTAGAGTTACTGAGCAATATAATTTACGTGTATCTCTACCACCTGTTCTGCAATCACCAAAACCAGAGGCTTGACTGCTATTAAGAAGTTGAGTGCTGAATATATGGTGAAACATTTTTTGATTAATGGAAGCAGGAGAAATGGTGAATTTGTGACCAGTTATGCCTGGAATTAAGAGCTCTGGAATAAAATAACTCCACATCTCCAGAGCTAACAGATCAAAAATAACTACTAAGTCATTCTTACCCCAAACTGAATATATCAAGCAAAATGAAGCTTGTCTGCTTGTAGGCTCTTGACAGCCAAGTGTAGATATTATGGTGGAGAGGGAAGCCCGTAAGAGATGCTGGCTATAAGAACATCTGGCAAAAGGATGTGAAAGGAGAGATGTCAGCATAAAAATGGAAAATTGATAGAAAAAGGCAGGCTGCCCAATTGGGAGGCAAAATATGACCCCAATCTGCGGTCAGTTCAAAGCTTGAGGACTTTTTGTTTAACGTTCTCCTTCACACCTGGACCCTGTGTAAGTCTGCACAGAGACACGTGGAGACACGTTGCTCCTTGCCAGGCCCCAAGGAATAACCAGTCACATCACAGACTAAAATGTCACTCCAGAAGCTGGGTGACAACACTGCAAATTACAGAGCTTTATAGCTTGAAACTGAGACAGTGAAAAGTTTCCCTCTGTCTGAACACAAATTAGAAGACTTCCTAGTTATTCTTCGAGGAGATCTGTGCCTCCAGATTCAGTTCTGTATCTCCTGAAAAGACGATGAGCAATTGCACAGATGTTTTAGCCCTGGCTTAGAACTGAAAATACAATATTGTAAAAATAGGAGAATATACAGTTCTGTTGTGGTTTCCAAAAACTTATGTAGCTATAATAATGGTTACAGATGGCCCTCCATTACATGTTTCCTGAGCACTAATTTCTCAAGACATTATTCCATACTAATAAGTTCATCTCCAAAAAAATCACTCTGACACTATTTTTTTTCCTGAAAAATTGTCCATATTTCTTAAATTGATTGTATGTCACTCTTTCAGATGGTTATTTTCATCTGTCATCCACCAAACAGGCAATGAAGAAGATTTATTCTACCAGCAGTGATTTCTTCCATGACTTCATTTTCTATCCCTGTCCTGGAGGTCTTTTTGGCTAGGTTTTGATGGGCAGTAGAAAAAAAGCTGACCCCAAGTGGCCTATTGGACTTTGCACGCACGTACCTCTCCAAGCAGTGTCAGCAAGGTCAGGTAGGAGTTTAATGCTCTCTTGGCAGGTTTAATGCTCTTCAATTTCAGGCTACCTTCGGAGAAGGCAGTGTGTAACTGCCTCTGTAGCCCAGTGAAAGACATAGTGCAAGTTACAGAGAAACTTTCTCCAAGGAAGGGCAAATAATCCTTGGCATCCTGCAAATATGTATATTTTGAAGAGCAAGCAGCAGAAATGGCTTGGTTGGATGCTTGGGCACTCATTTTTGGTGACTGAAATGTCCAGGGATGACATGGTGGCGGGGCGTTGTCATTTGCCAAGCATACTTCAGCTTGAGGACATACTTGGACCTGTTTTGTTTGAAACCTCCCTGCTGGAGGATGAAGAGCTGCAGAGAAGGGGTGGCCAAAAGGGGCTACGCTCGGTGCCTGGTTTGGCCACTGCCCAACGTCTTGCCGCATGGCTCCACACCACTGTGACCTGCCTGCAGCCCCTCAGCACACCCTGTCCCAGTGTGCTGGGTTTTTCTCCCACCGTCAACAAAATAAATACTCAAAACACCAGTGACACGGAGTGCTCAGCACCACTGGCCCGTGTGGCTCCCAGCTGCCGCATACAGGGAGCACTGTGACCCCTTTCCCCTCCATCCCCAAGCACTCTCCCTCCTTCCTTCCTTCCCTTCCTGCTCACTTTGTGA